TCCGGGTTTCAGAAATCTCATTCAACTGACACATTTCTTATTTACCTACTTGACTATATCCGTACAAATAGCCCCAAAGGGTTGGTATGGTTATGATGGACTTACAAAAAGCATTTGATACCGTCAATCATATTTTGTGTGATAAATTAGATATATTAGGTTTCAAATCTATTTATTGGTTTAAATCATACTTGTCAGGAAGGTATCAGAAAGTAAGTATTGGTAAAGTTTTTTCTGACTCAATTCCTATTACCTGTGGGGTCCCTCAGGGCAGTATTTTGGGTCCTCTTCTATTTCTCTGCTACGTTAATGACATGGTAACTAGTATCGATTCTGATTGCAAGTTAATTTTATATGCAGATGATAGCACAATATTATTTTCGCATAAGGATCCAAAAATTATAGCCCAAAAACTTGGAAAGGTATTGGAACGATGCTCAGATTGGTTAGTTGATAATAAATTATCTCTACACCTGGGCAAGACTGAATGTATGCTATATGGTTCTAAATCAAAAATTAATAAATTAAAAAAAAATTCCATTTCATGTAATGATCAAACAATAAAGTCTTCGTCTGAAGTTAAATATCTTGGTTTGAATATCGATTCGATTGTTACCTATCAGGAGATAAAATTGTCAAGAGCATTCTTTCAAAGGTGAATGAAAGATTACATTTTCTATACCGTTACAAAAATTGTTTATCGGAAGAAATAAAGAAACAGTTATGTCCTGCCCTTTTGCTGTGTCACTTTGGTTATTCTTCATCTTCTTGGTACGTCACTGAGTAAGTCACTAAAGCACAAACTTCAAGTAGCTCAAAATAAGGTTGTGCGCTTTATAAAAGACTACACTCCTAGGACTTCAGTGACAAATAAGGTTCTGTCCGATCTTAAATTATTAAATGTCAATGATAGAGTTAGACAGTTAAGACTCAACCACATTCATAAAGTTTATTACAACAAAAGCCCTTCTTATTTAAAGGAATGGTTACGGTTTGTAGAATATCCAATTTAAGATCTAGTAATTTTAATTTTGTTTTGCCTCAAAATGATTCTTATGTTAAAAATACATTTTTCTACAATGCCATAAAAGACTGGAATTCTTTACCAGACAACATTAGATCAATTGACAATATCCAAACATTTAAAACGAAAGTAAAACTTTTTTTAAGTAATGAAAATGATAAACAAGTGAATAATATGTTTATTCATTATTAAATTGATGTGTAACTTATGATAAGGTTTTGTAACATGTTTATGTTGTACTTGATATGTTTTAGTTTAAACGAAATTTATTTCATTTTGTTTGTGTACAATGTACTTGTCTTATTATATTGAAAAATGTGTCTTGATTGTTGAAAATTGTCATTTATTTTAACTTCTTTATAACTCATTTATTATTATGTTAGTTAGTGTAATAATTTTACAGAAAATGGACCCCATTGGAAATAAGCTTTTAGCTTAATGGGCAATCCTAGGGTTACATAGAACATACTCATTAATTAATCTTATAATTATTTTTGTTGCATTTATGTGTGTGTTATATATATATATATATATGCAAGTTGATATCTGTGATAAAATTGTATGTGTATATGTCTATTCCCTGAATAAATCGATACGATGGTAGTTTTAGCTAAAAGAACTTTATTTTTTCTACCTTAAATACAACCTAACAACATAAAACAAGATCAACACGGAAAGGTAGAACCCACACGATCTAGCAACAAGGACCAGTGACAAGGAACCCATCAGGAACAAAAACAGGGCAGGGACCAGCGACAGAAAAAAAACTAGGGGCAAATAAAATGTACATTACCGTAGACGAGTAAACAACAAGAAGGGTCACAAAAGTGTTACCATATAATAGTATGAAACAAATAATTCAATAAATGATAAATAAATCATTTTATTCAGAAATCTTTCGCAAGGTAACAAGTTGCGTTCTTATAATATAGCTTGTGATTCGAAACAGCGGTCTTCTCTATATGCACTGTCAAACATTTCACTATGTGGACATATGAAAGAGTTTGTAAAATCCCACCCTCATCCACTCCCTGTATTGAATAATTTTCAAGTAAGATTTGGAAAATGGTTCACAAACCCTTATGGAAATTCTAAACTGAAGAATCTTTCGGTTTGTTTATGACATTTCCGTGATAACTATATTGGAAATCTATGGTCTACGGTAAAAGTGGTCTGGGGTTCAAATTCCGGTCCAGAAAACTGAAATTTTATTTGTCTTCTTTATGTGTTGTAATCATTTCTAAAGGTATTAATCTTAATATGCAAAGAAAATGTATGGTTGTTATACATAACTGTTATAGCCAAAACACTAAATGGTAAAACTGATATTTTAACAACTTGTTTATATATCTTTGAAGTTGTTTTTAATATAGGTCTTATAAGATGCCCTACACATGGATACCGATTTAGTTGTTGGAAAAGGTGTTATTCCTGAGTCTGCGAAAAAGGAGGGTCTATTTTACGCACATTCACTTATAATTTGAAGAAAAAATGTTATTTTTAAAGCAAAGATCACTTGTTACTTACTGTCACTAAAAATCTGTATAGGTCCATAAATATCAACAAACTCTACTAAAACATATTCTATATTCAAAAATAATTCTTCTAAATAAATCATGGTGATTGAATTTTGATATAAAATGCAAGCAGGGGGCATGACATTAAACAAATATAAATTGGATAGTGAAATTTGCTAATATCTAAAATAATATCTTATATACTGTCTAAAAATGAATAAAAGTACTATCACAATTTTCAATAAATTGCTTTGTTTCGTTGGGTTCTCACAATATGATTTTCTTGCTTCTATGGGCATTTCTTTTTTATATTTGGATAAACTCTTGTACCAATTGTTAGAACTTCGATTGGCTGAGAATCATTTTATTCACATCGTTTCGTCTTTCTGCTTAAGCAAAATATTGGCGTTAAGAGTAATGTTTGGTTCACTTTTTATTGGTTTAAACTATCAAGTAATGGTTTTGCTACTGACTGTTCCAAGGCGGTGTTCTTCTGTGTTCCTTTTAGGTATATCTAGTTTATTGTTACATGTTACATGCGATGACATTGCAATGTATCTGTGTCTCATCTTGCAATAAATCATCATAGGTAAGTAATTCTTTCCCTTCCACATTTTTTGTCCATATTCTGTAAGGTAAGAAAATAAACAAAATTATCTTAATGCTATGCTATTCATACAATCTCTTTTCCAAGTCGTAGAGCGAGTGTTGCGTCAACCGCGAATTGTCTTTCATATTTCCTTTTTATTGGGATGTTATCTCCGAATACTTAGGAATGTTACCGGTGATGCGTTATTTTAGTTGTATGATGCATACTCAAAGAAAACAGAAATATACTAAAAAACGAGAATTAAGATCAACAAGGCAAAGGCAACGTTCATAGGACGCAGCCCCCCCCCCCCTCCGCCCCCGACACACCCAAGCAGGGCACCCAGAAGGCAGCAAACCAAAAACCGGGAGTGGACATTAGGACGGCGAAAGGAGAGGGACACGTAATATGTGAAATAATAAAAAATAAAACAGACCCATATGGGAATTAAATGGATAAGGAATGTATGGGTGACAGGGGGTGGGTAAAAAATGGGAGAGGAGGGTGAGAGAAAAACCTACCGTCAACGACAATCCAACAAGGCAGACACCACAAAACATGTAAACATTCAAAACAAGCAACCAAGCAACAATACTACGAATAAAGAAAACAAATAAACAAAAATTTAATGTGTTGCTCATAAATCAATTTAAAAAATGCTAGACATCACAAAACACGTAAACATTCAAAACAAGCAACAATACAGACATGAAAAAAAAACAAGAATAAAGATCAACAAGGCAAAGACAACGTTCACAGGACGCGGCCCCCGACACACTCTAGGAGGGCACCCAGAACAAAAACCTGGAGTGGACATAAGGGGTGAAAGGAGTGGGACATGTAATGTGAAAGACTATCAACTAAAACGGGCCCATAAGGGAATTAAAGGGAAAAGGGCTGTAAGGGTGATAAGGTGGGGAGGGGGTTAAAAATGGGTGACGGGGGGTGAGAAAATCCTTACCGTCAACGACAATCCAACAAGACAGACATCAAAAAACATGTAAACATCCAAAACAAGTAACAATACAGATATGAAAAACACGCAAAGGAACACAGAGGGGTTCCGCCTTGGAATGGTCAGTAGTAGTTACACCATTGGGGAGTTTAAACCGGTTTTAGGCGCGCCAGACATAAGTCTTGTAAGTTTTAATGTAAAAACTGTTGTCATGACTTTGAAATTTTATCTTTATGTTACTCTGATTTATATAAACGGTAGTTTAAACATTTGCTTAAAGATTGGACATCACTGTTCCAACTTTGGATGAACTGATCTCGAAAACTTTTGAAATTAAACATTATCTTAACCAATAATTTGATAAACCAAGTTCGTCCAAAGTATCCTTAACAAAGAAAGCCACGGTAATTCGTTTCTATATCTAGCATATACTGTGTGAATGGTAAAGATTATAAGATTTGTAATAATTTAAATAATAAAGATTATAAGATTTGTAATAATTTAAATAAAAAGCTTACACCAGTAGTTGATAATTCGACTTTTTATTTGCAAATATATCGGAGTAACTCCAAGTTCACCATTTAACATACAATTGGGAGTACTTTGCTTGGGGTTAAGTATAATTTTGTAAAATTTAAGCTGAAACTGATCAATACACTTTAAATTTTCTATTCTCCAAACATCAGAGCCATAACAGAGAATAGGAACAATCATTGTGTTAAACAAGTGGATCTGTAGATCTACAGATATATAGTAACAATTTTCTAGTGTTTTTTTTTTACAGAGAACATAGCTTTCTTCGCTTGATCAAAAATCTTATTATAACTGCTTGCTGGTTAATCTTAATCTTTGGGTACACTTCAAAGTCACGAAAACCAGTCATTAAATGTCATTTTTAATATAATTTATATATTTTTAACAAAAATATACATTTTGGTGTGTTTTACGTGCTATTTTGCATATTGTTTACTTCAATTAGTGAAATTATTGTATTAAAATTTTTAACTAAAAATTTTGTTGATCACGTGACTTTCTTTTTTCCTCGTGTGGCAATCATGAAGGCTCTTGGCGATGTATGTTGCATTTTCTTTGCTACCAATTCATATTTAAATCAATTGCCCATTACATATGCAGTCAACTTCATTAAAAATTCTATGCTGTTGCTTAATTAGATTTGATTCTTTTGTTTACTGACTGGAACTGCATAGTAACGTGTTTTCGCGACTGCTCTCTACTGGTAAAGGGTCAACTCGGCCTTATACCAACTCGACACAGGTCAACTCGGCTTTCTATTATAAACATATGTTAGGATATAGATTGTTTAGTTAATAAAGATTTTAAGGAGAAAATTACTATTAAGTTTTTCAGAAATATGATCACTTACAAACAGAAATTGAAAAAGTTGGCAGTGTACCTGTACGTATTGTTTGAAAGGTAATAGGACATTTCGGACCATAGACATTTCGGACCAGACATTTCGGACCCGATTTTGGGACACTTAGGACCATATTTAGGGACATTTCAGACCAGATTTTTGGACATTTCGGACCATGTCTTGGACACTTCGGACCATCGTTTTGGACATTTCGGACCATGTGTTGGACTTTTGGGATCATGTGTTAGACACTTTGGACCATTGTTTTGGACATTTCGGACCAGATTAAATATTATTTTTTGATATATTATGTATCAATTATTCTATAAACTAAAGAGTAACTTTAGTATATATGAGGCACCATAGAACAATTTTACACCTATCCAGATTAAGATTTTATATCTGTTGCACTATAAATAAAGAAAATTTAAAAAAAAATGTTTTTGTGGCACACGTTTCCAAAACAAATATAAAGTATATGTAAAAAGACATGACAAAATATATTATTTACAACATATTCTAATATCACAAATCATACATTATCTTACAAACACATACATACAAATGAATGTATACATTTAGATAATTATTGACCCTTATGGATCTAACAAAACACAGGGACAAAAATATTTACAGTAACATGTAAAATAAGATATAAATAATTCAGATTAATATAATTACATACATTCTTCTTGAATTGAGTGAAACTTGACTTAAACGAGTTCTATTGAGCAATTAAAACGTGTGAAAAACTGGATGTCGTAGTTCTTTAATACCTGCCAGAACACAATTTAATTTGGTTAAAATTGTCTTTAGATAGGTATTTTCAGCGTGTGTGGGTACTTATTGTGCACCTTATCAAATATTTGATTAAACAGGTAACTATGTAAATCAATTTCAATTCTTTTAAATAAGTTAAACATAGCGAATCATTATCTATATTCTGTATGAAGGGCATTTGCATAAATATATCCAACACTTACCAATATATAGTTTCAAAGGTATTCTATCATTGTTTTAACATTTTTTCAATATTAAAAAAATGTCAGCGTTAAAAATTCATAAATGAATTATGATATAAATTTTTACATGGATAATCAAAACAAAAATAGAGGTCTATAAGCTTGTCAGGAAATGTGAAAATCTCGTCAGACCGGTCTTTTCTGTATGCATTTTGAATGTCATAAAATTTTGAAATGTCAAATATTTGTTGCATTTATCATAAGAAAATATTGTAATAACACCCTAAAATAACCTTTAAATATATATAAAAAAGGACTAAAAGGTCTATTGAATAAAAATTTCTGGTCCGAAATGTCCCCCATCATGGTCCGAAATAACCATTTCATGGTCCGATATGTCCCAAAATCTGGTCCGAAATGACCTAAAAATCTGGTCCGAAGTGTCTGGAAACGTCCGTGGTCCGAAATGTCCGTAATTCGTTTGAAATTATCTTAAGAAGAGATATCAAGACAATATATATAAATCAAATCAAATCAAAATTTATTTATTGTCTGTATACATATATAACATTTTACAAAACATAAGCTTTGTATAGCTTTTGACCGACATTCATGCATATAAACATAAAACTCATAAAAGAAGCACATTAAGATAAACTTTGAAAGACAAATGGTAAAAGACAAGTTAAGTTACTATAATGTGGGATGTAGACACTAAATGTAATAATTTAAAGTAAAATAATAATAATTAATAAATAGTAATGATATGCTAAGGATAACATTTAATTACTGTATCATAAGTGAATAAAATAATATATATCTAGATAAAAATGCTGAACATATTAGCACATACATAAAATAAGATGCACATACATAAAATAAGATTACATTAAAAGTGGGTGGATTCTGCTGATCTTGACCCAGGCCTAGCCTGGACTGTTATAAAAGAAAGGAAATAACATATTGAAAATGAAAAGGATCACAAAAATGTGACCACCAATTAGGTTTTATAAATAAAAAATCCCCAATTCAAAATTTGCAAGAAGTGATCAGCAGCCTCCTCAATAAGCAAACTTCGCAATAAGCTGACAATAAGCAAACAAAATTCAAGCACACTGGAAAAATAATACATGTACATAAACATTTATGTTGAGAATATTAACAAAATTTAAGCCAAATGTGAAATAAACAGATACATGTAAGTAAGCAGCAAAACAAAAGAAAGCAGGCAAGAAACAAAACTGAAGATGGAGCTAAACTATAATGCAGGTTTATTGACAGAAAGTACATGAGCAACTCTCTCCATTCCATGCACCAATTAAACTTTTAAATTGGTCATAATTCACTTCCATATAAGTTAAATATTGATCAATAAATAGAGATTTTAGATTGAATTTTTGTGACAATAAATGTGATATTTTTTACAAAAAACTCTGGAGTAGGAAAACATGCATATAAATTGTAAATTCTTTCTTTCTCTACAAATTCACATACAAATTGGTACTTTCATCAATAAAACTTTTCAATATCCTTGAGTAGAGGTCTGTAAGAGTAGTGTGAAAATGTTAAACCATGAAAGTTATGATGAAAACATATCAAAAGTAATAAAAGTAATCATTACCAGTAATATATAATTATGGGCCGAGTTGGAATAGGGCCGAGCTGACTCGAGGGCCGAGTACGTTTTAGGGCCGAGCTGACCCTGATTCCTCTACTACCGTAGATCAACAAGATTCCTACCTTCCATTTTGGTGTCCCAACTTCTCTCAGAGACATAGGCATTGCCATTATCATGTTATGATAATTTATACGTCACAAGGTTAAGCGTAATTGATTTGTTAAATTACGACTGTGTTAATAAATTCTCAGCACAAAAGTTTAAAATTTTAAACTGGTTATTTGATGAATTACATGATTTAATGATTCACCCCACTGACGTTTAAACCAGTAATCACTAAATATAGGTGTTCATGCCACTAAATGTTAGCATGGTTTTTTTCAGATCTGATCAATATATGTTTCAAAGTCTGTAGTTTATTTTTACAGCATTATGAATATTTTTTACTTGTTTCAGGGTTCGTACAGTCTTAAAAAGTGCTTAAATTTGAGTCAAGTGCTTAAAAATGTAAAAAAAGTGCTTAAAAGTCCTTGAATTTGATTACTCTTGAAAAGTGCTTAAAAAGTGCTTAAATTTGCTAAAAATGTGCTTGAAAATGTTTGAATCACAGAATGACATAGCTTTGATAAAAATCAAATAAAAAAAGAAAGATCTATCCAATTTAGTATCAAAATCAATGAAATGTTTACTCAAGGTAACAGTTAGTGGACAAATTGCAGTTGTTTTGAACTAACCTGTACTTGATGCACCCTTAGTTGTTCTTCTATAATGTCAGAAAATGTGTATTCAACAAAAAATGGTGAACAAACTATCCATCATAGGTTGAAGATTGTGTCGGTATATGTGTAACAAATGTGCTTTGAAAAATGGGAAAACGTGCCTAAGTAGTGCTTAAAAAGTCCTTGAATTTTGGCATTGAATGTCTGTACGAACCCTGTGTTTGTGTGTTTGATAAATTATTACATCAGTATTGAATATTTTAAAGTAATTACGTCATCAAATGGACTGTAGGGTAAGCACATTTACACCTGTTCAATAACGCATTTTGATTGGCTAGAATTGTCAAATCGAGTGTCTGCTAAAACTACCTGTAGTTTTCGGATGGTGTATGTCCTTGCAGGGGTGTTTAATCAGACACTTATTTAGGTCACGAATTGATGGGAAGGCACGAATCAATGAGAATAAGGCATAATTGGTATATCTAATAATGTCAAACCCATGGTGAATCTTGTAGGAAATGGATGACCTACCATCTGTATATCTGAGTGCCAGGTTTTATTTGGAAGCTTAAGGGAGTGAAGCATGTCCATATTTGTATAGATAAAATTTGATTTAAAAGGAGGGGTGAATTGTCAGCAAAAATCAATTCATGGGGTGAATTGTTGAGGTGAATTGTCAGTAAATCATTGCAATAGGCTAGACATGAGGCTGAATTACCATTTAACACCATCAGAGTTAAGAAGTATAAGAATTAAGTGAGATCTGTTAGAAGTTCTGAAAATGATATTTCCACTGTTGTAACTTTTTTTTATTGGTGTTTGGTTTTCAGTTGAAAGAATACAAAGTTATTGGGCGTTCTATGCCCACAGACAAGAACAGAACTCCTCCATTGTACCAGATGAAGATCTTTGCTCCAGACAAATGCACAGCTAAATCTAGGTTCTGGTACTTTGTGTGTCAGTTGAAGAAAATGAAGAGGACCCAGGGAGAAATTGTTGCATGTCAGCAGGTACACATTCACTTTTGTTATTGAATATGTTTGAAACTTCAAAGTTTGTATACACTTAATTTTGAACAATGAATATTTGTGCTTAGATATAAAGGATCATGCTTTGCACATTATTCAGGGGATTCAAATCTGTCATATCCAAGTGTTTCAGTCATGCTTCATCATAAAGTGTAAGTAACAAAACAGCAAACTTGTGGTGTTCCAGAAGTCATTGCATTAATTTATTAAGGTAAACTAGGTCATTATAGTTCCAGATAGAGCAGCTTAGAAATTCTGAAAAGTGTATTTAAAAATCTATGGGAGTTTATCAGTTTTCCCTGGACCAAATTGCAGACATTTGTGAGAAATGTTAAGTTTTGTTTCAGATATACGAGAAGAAGCCCCTGAAGATCAAGAACATTGGTATCTGGTTGAGGTATGTGTCAAGAAGTGGCACACACAACATGTACAGGGAATACAGAGATCTGACAGCTGCTGGCGCTGTCACTCAGTGCTGTATGTATCAATAGTGTTGTTTTTTTTCAGTGTAAGACAAGCTTATCAAGAAAAATGTTTTGTTTTAAGTGTGAAACGGTTAAAATTAAACATAGTAGTCTCCCGTTACAGATTTTTCAATTCCATATTTCATGAAGTATAAACATTATTCAGAATTTTCAACAGAATCTTGTATTAAGACATTTGTCAGGTTGATTGTTGAGAAACCTTGTGTTTGTATTATTTCCGTTTGAAACTTTGAACTGACATTTTGTAAAATTAAGATAATTTTGAAAACTTTGGTTTGATTGAGAAATGAAACATATTATAATATTATATGCTTTGTACAGATCGTGATATGGGTGCACGTCACAGAGCTCGTGCATCAACCATTCAGATCATGAGAGTGGAAGAGGTAGCCGCTAGCAAGACTCGTCGTCCTAACATCAAACAGTTCCACGTAAGTTTAAATAGAATTGATACAATGTTTCATGGAAAATAATTTAAGAACAACAGGAAAGCAGTCTGAGCATAATTGTTGAAGTTGCTATTGACCAAAAAAGATAATAATGTAAGTTAAAGGGATAAATAAAAGTATTGTTTCATCATAGTTTATGCAAGCACTCTGTTCATTAAGAATTAGATCAAAGTAGTAACAGTCTTCACTTGGCTAAGCAGTAGAAGTGCAATCATGTGTATTTTTCTTTGTGTATATCATAAAATGTAAATATTGTAGGTCACAGGTGAATAAAACTGATAAAATTTATTAACTATTGCATTTACTTTCCTATTACATATCTGTTATTAGATAAGATGAATTATGTAAATGAAAATAACTTAATATTAAGTTATTCAGACTTCTGGGAATTGTGCACAATCTTGCAGTGTTAATAGCTATATGTTGTTGAACACTTTTATATTGGTGCTAAAATAATATTCTGCCCGTCGCCTTTCTTATCAGTTTGAAATTTGATTTGAAAGTGAATCTGGGAAGAGACAATTATCTAATTGGTAAATTACTCTTGCTGAAACGTAAGTGGTCAGAAACATGGCCATAATTTGAAGGTTCCAGATTTGGTTTATACAAATCAATCTTTGGAGCTACAGTTCTGTTAATGACCTTTGGTAGGTGAAATTCACTAATTTGTATCAATTTTACGCATCTGTGTTTCATTGACTGTATGACTTTTATTCTTACAATTTGATTTTGTTTGGTTTTTAGGACTCGAAGATCCGATTCCCTCTCAGCCACAGAATCGAGAAGCCACAGCATACACCAAGGTTCACCACAAACCGACCACACACAACTTTCTAAATCATGCTGTAATATTTATATATGTCATACTTGGCAAATAAAGGCCTTCAGTGGAAAAAAAATCTTCATTTTGTTTCTTTTGCATTATTAAACCATTAAGTTATATGGAAAAGTTTTCAGTAAGTTTATTATTGATGTGAATAGTAATATAAATTGAGGCATAAAGTGCAAAGTACAACTTGTATCTCATTGGCAGCAGATATTGCTAATAAAGTGTCGGTGACGAAGCTAAGCAGCATGTCATGTAGTGGTTCAGCTGAGGTGCCCACAATGGATAAGAGTGTTTTCTTTCACCATTAAAGCTGGAAATGTTGTGATATGCGAGATGTCCAGGCTTTAACCGGACCGAAAATATAGCAGGTGCAGTGACTGAATCTATTGCCCATCAAAGCTGAAGGTTTTAAGTGCAGCCTGTAATATTGACTTTGTTGATGTTAGGAAGTCAACAAACCTACATACTTTGGTGCCTGCTTGTACATACAGTACCATACTTGAAGCATCCCATGTCTTTCTCCACCAGTTGGAAAGTCTTGATGTACGGAGTGTTGACGAAAACTACTTTTCTATTCTTTCATATCACATCACTTCTTAAGTTGACCTTTTAGCTTTTGAAACTTTTTTTTTAATAATGTTAATTATTTGCACAATCTTGCAGTGTTAACAGCTGTATGTTGTTGAACACTTTTATATTGGTGCTAGAACAATATTCTGCCCGTCGCCTTTCTCATCAGTTTGAAATTTGATCTGAAAGTGAATCTGGGGAGAAACAATTGTTCAATACAGCTAATTGTACAGTTATCTTGAAGTACTGAAAGTGAATCTAGAAAATTGAACTACACAAAGACATAATACCAAAGTCTGAAAATGTTGTGCATTTAAAAAGACTTAATCTTTATTGTACTTGAATCATGGCCTCAAAATGTTGATAATAAATGCATCTTGGTAATATGTCGAAGGTTGGGTTTTTGCAGGTTCCAGTATTGTCCAAAAATAATGGCTGTGAATGATTTTACTTAATAGTAAAGCTGCAAATTTACTGTACATTACATTAGCGAGGAATGTGTAATTTTATAAAGCCTTATTAAAAACACTGATGAGAATCCTTGAAAATCAGAATTCCATATTCTGTTGTTTCAAAAAATGTTCTTTCAATTTACTTATTTATCAGAATGATATAGCTTTTGAAATTTGAATAGATTTTCTCTTCATTGAGAAGTTTGAAAGTTTTTAGTCTCGAATTTGCACAAACTTGCAGTGTTAACAGCTATATGTTGTTGAACACTTATATTGGTGCTAAAATAATTCTGCCCGTCGCCTTTCTCATCAGTTTAAAATTTGATTTGAAAGTGAATCTGGGAAGAAACATTTGTTCAATTCAGCTAATTGTACAGTGATCTTGAAATATATGATGTACTGAAAGTAGATCTAGAAAATGAAACTACACCAAGATAAAATACCAAAGTCTATGAAAATTTTGTGCATTTAAAAAGACCTAAACTTTATTGTACATATATCATTGCCTGTAAAAATGTCTGGGTAATATGCTGAATGTTGGGTCTTTGCAGGTGCCAGTCTTTACCAAAAATAATAGAAGCTCCTGATTGATTTTACTCTTTAGTAAAGCTGCAAATTCACTGTATAAAATGACTTTATCGAGGGTTGTGTAACTTGATAAAGCCTTATTAAAACAAAACTGATGAGAATCAAAATTTCATAATCTGTTGCTTCAAAAAAATGTTCTTTTAATTTACTAATTTATCAAAATAAGAAAAAAATTTGAAACTTGCATTCCAATAGCTTTTCTTTTCATTGAGGAAGTTTGAAAGTTTTTAGTCTCCAATTTGCACAATCTTGCAGTGTTAATAGCTGTATGTTGTTGAACACTTTTATTATTGGTGCTATAATAATTAATATTCTGCCCGTCGCCTTTCTTATCAGTTTAAAATTTGATTTGAAAGTGAATCTGGGAAGAAACACTTGTTCAATACAGCTAATTATACTCGAAATACAAGTACTGAAAGTAGGAGGGTCCGTGGCCGGGTGGTTAAGGTCGTTTACTTCAAACCACTTGCCCCTCACCGCTGTGGGTTCGAATCCCGATAGGGAATTTGGATTCTTTCATGTGAGGAAGCTATCTAGCTAGCTTACGGAACGTTGGTGGTTCTCCTCAGGTGCCCGTTTGTGCCTGAAATAATGCACAGAAGGGCACCTGAGGTCTTCCTCCACCGGCGCCAAATGACCTATACTGTGTCGATGTGACGTAAAACCCAATCAAAATAAAACAAAAGATCTAGAAAATGAAACTACACCAAGATATAATACCAAAGTCTGAAAATGTTGTGCATTTAACAAGACCTAAACTTGATTGTACTTTAATCATGATTGTAAATGCATCTTGGTAATATGTCAAAGGTTGGGTTTTTGCAGGTTCCGGTATTGTCCAAAAATAATAGCTCTAATTGATTTTACTCAATAATAAAGCTGCAAATTCACTGTAAATTAAATTAGCGAGGGTTGTGTAATTTTATTAGGCCTTAGTAAAAGACTGGTGAGAATCCTTGAAAATCAGAATTCCATATTCTGTCGTTTCAAAAAATGTTCTTACAATTTACTTCTTTATCAGAATGATATAGCTTTTGAAATTTGAAAAGGTCTTCTCTTCATTGTGGAAGTTTAAAAGGTTTTAGTCTCCAGTTTGCACAATCTTGCAGTGTTAACTGCTGTATGTTGTTGAACACTTTTTATATTGGTGCTAGAACAATATTCTGCCCGTCGCCTTTCTTATCAGTTTGAAATTTGATTTGAAAGTGAATCTGGGAAGAAACAATTGTACAATACAGCTAATAGAACAGTTATTGTGAAATACTGAAAGTGAATCTAGAAAATGAAACTACACCAAGATATAATACCAAAGTCTATTAAAATTTTGTGCATTTAAACAGATCCAAACTTTATTGTACTTCTATCATGGCCTCAAAATGTTGAATAAAGAAGTCTGGGTAATATGCTGAATGTTGGGTCTTTGCAGGTGCCAGTCTTTACCAAAAATAATAGAAGCTCCTGATTGATTTTACTCATTAGTAAAGCTGCAAATTCACTGTATAAAATTACTTTATCGAGGGTTGTGTAACTTGATAAAGCCTTATTAAAACAAAACTGATGAGAATCAAAATTTCATAATCTGTTGCTTCAAAAAAATGTTCTTTTAATTTACTAATTTATCAAAACGAGATAAATTTCGAAACTTGCATTCCAATAGGTCTTCTCTCCATTGATGAAATTCCGAATTTTTTGTCTCCAGTTTGCACAATCTTGCAGTGTAAATAGCTGTTTGTTGTTGAACACTTTTATATTGGTGCTAAAATAATTTGCCCGTCGCTTTTCTCATCAGTTTGAAATTTGATTTGAAAGTGAATCTGGGAAGAAACAATAATTGCCCTGTATACTTGTGTACAGATTTCTGAACGTATCGCAAAAAGTCTGTATTTGTTTAAGCTCAGTCTGTCATGACCACAATGTTTTGGGATTATTTTTTTTTTTGTGATTGATAACATGTCTCTGTACTTAGTGCACTCCCCCAAGGGCCCCAAAACTGGGGGCATGGGGGGTAATCGGGTTTAGGCTTTCACTTTAAAACCCATCGAATCTCCTTTTGGGGTTTTGAATCCATATTGGACTTAAATTTCTTTTGAGGAAGTTATCCAGCTGGCTTGCAGAATAACGATGGTTCTACTCTCTAATAATGCATGGAGGGGCACCCAAAATCTGCCTTCACATGTAAAGCTTTAAAGTTGCCATATGACAATTGCTGCGTGGGTGTGTCTCAAATCCCCAACAAAAAAGAAAACTGGCATTGATATTGACAGAATAATGTCCCATAGTGAAGAGCATTTGTGAACAGTTCAATTTGGGTTTTTAGATTTTTAATTGCACAAAAGTAGACAATGTGAAGTATGTAAGACCAGGTCTATAGGTCAAGGTAACAACAGGATAAAGGATTAATTTTTTAACAGTTCATCATTTCAAACTTTAGCACTATCAAAATGCAACTTGTATCAAAAGAGCAGATAAATTTATTTCCCACTTTCTTTACTATCATTTTATGCCACGGTTAAGCATAATGTTGAAATATATTTGGTTAAAAAGTGATTTTCTCATAAACTTAACTTTATACATTTAAAGCTCATAATGTGGGGACACCTGTGTATTTCTGATGCATATCTTAACCTTAGTGCAGTAACCGGTTAACTTCTTATATAATTTAATAGAAGCTAACCTGTTACTGCACTAAAGTGACGAGGGCAGGTGACTTATATGTACTTGATAAAGTTAAGACATAAAACAAAATTTTAATAATTATTATAATATCTAATTTCTATTTAATAGAGTTAATTTGACAAAACTATTGGCATAAATGACAAGAAATTATAAACAAATATGTTGAACAAAATTTCTGTCTCCTTATAAACATACAACAATCAATATTTTGCTCCTGTGACTTTTCAAAAAAAAAAATGATAAGATTCCAACTGGCTGGAATAAGCTGAAAAGAATTATCCCTGATACCAGTGAGGAAGCAGACCTGGAATCGTGTCCCCCTCTAGCACTATGTATGAATAACATTTCTCAATCGGAGGATACAAATTATAATAATTGGTCATGGATAATTAATACAATGATTGATTAGTTCTGATTTAAATTAAAGTAACTACATGTAAACAGTGATTTTTCACCGGCATATAAAAGACCTCTTTCCATTCAAAATTTTCTATAAAATCGTGCAAGAATCCAAAACCAGCTTTATTACTTCCCAAATTAGCCCAAATAGCAATTTAAGCAAAATCATTTTCAAATAAAGTGAGAAAAAAAAACTGGTATATTTAATGATGAAACATTATCTTGCACGAGTTAATGTATTATCAACATACAGACATTAACATCTAAACAAACTCATTTTAATACATTGTAAATACATGTATAGTACATGTATATTTTTAGTCTTACTTCAAAACTCCAAGTGTCAAGGTTACAGGATTATCACAGTAATAGCAGCACATAATATGATATAAAAGAGTTAATGAGATTCAATATTATTTTTACTTCATCTTGGAATAATTACTTTGCAATGTTCGATTAACAAATCTATATATTTAAATAATTATGCTGTCAAAGTCGCATTAACAATTCATTAAATAAAATCAGTAACAGAAAGAAACATAAATTCACCGACATAATTATAACCAGACTAATACATTTAGAACTAATGATTTAAATAACAAAATCCTCGGCAAAATTTATCCTCTTATGGGTAGACTCCCCGCTCCATTTAATATAATCAGAGTAGTTAGTTTCAGTCGTACAAAAGACGCATTCTCTTTACAAATGAATAGCATATTAATGCTAATGAATCCTTTCAATTACAATCTTACATTCAGCTGGGTCCTATTCGAGTAAGTTAATGTGGTATTACAAAGAAATTAGAAAATGGTTCTCTTGGAAAACTTTCAGACTTGATGAAATATATCAAAATTTGAAAATGGTCCACTGAAAAACTTTCTGACTCGATGAAATATATCTATGTTAAAAGTCTATCACTTATGAGCTAAGGGATGTGTGGCAGCATAGCCTTTGTTTTCAAATATTGTGTCGGCAATCCTGCAACGAAGGTCATCATTGTTCTTCTGTCGACCTGAAGATTCAAAATAAATATTTTGTAGATTTTATTTTTAAGTCTTTATAGTTAATAACTAAATACTGTATCATCTCAAGATATACAAGAATTTGTAACACAGTTGCCAACGTCCCCTCCTAAGACAAGTTTTACATGAAGCATAAAATTATGCTATTTCAAAAAGATTGAGGTATGTATCTGGACTTTCAGAGCAAAATCTTGATCAATGTCAGATCTGCACAAGCAAAAGAAATAAAATAACTCCTGTGTGTCAAAAGACTGATCACCATTTCAAAACCAAAAAATGTGATTAATACAAAATCATTACACGGTATGGTCTGATACAGGGTATATTTCATGTCCAGTCCTATTTCTTTCATTGATTAGGTGAAACACCAATGACATTTTATTTGCTTGGGACTGACTTGGCATCATACCCTGTAACAGACCCTGTTGGACTTTGACCTCCAAGTTCGACCTTTCAGAAAGTTATGGACCTGACATGAAAAATACCCTACAACAGAAAATCAATGTCAAGTGTGACCTTGGAGTAAGGGTCTGTCTGTTAAGTATGACACATCATAATATTAGAACAAACATTTGTACCAAGTAATTTCAAATTCCTTCAATAAATGGCTTAGCTATGGACTGGACAAGAAAGTGTGATGAATGGACGGACAGACAGAGCACATACAAATTGCCACATACCAAATGTAATGAAACTTTAGATACATGTAAATCAATTATTTTTTCAAAGAAATTCTTATCTGAAAATGCATCTACATTGTCTAAACAATTCTTTGTAATAAGATTTACTATTCACAGGAAGATTTGTTAAAATTGCTTCATAAAACAGGGAGAAAAAAATCCAAATAAAACAGCTTACCAGCATCAATGTCTTTGAAATTCTGGTTTATTCTTGTAAAAGCTTCATCACAAAATAATCTTGTCAACTGCAACTATAAATATAAAACAGGTAAATAACATTAGTACCAGTTAGCCAATGAACACTTAACATGACAGATAAAACAAGAAGAAACATAAACATATAAAATGTACCAAGTATGTCTTCACATTTTTCTCACCGTGTAACATTTGGCAAGAAACATGAAGCTATCACGGTTTATGACTCCAGTCAATGCAAACTAACAAATTACAATTATGCAAAGGTACTAATATAAAACAGAATACATTACAAGATTATGTATAAAAGCTTGGGTAGGTCAATTGGCATATTGATCAAGTCGGACATTTTTAAATACCTTCATTTATCCGGGCGTAATAAGGACTGAACTTGTTAATGTGATTTTCTAAATTTAAAATGTTTTTGGTATATCTCGGCCACTGGCTTTCCTGGATAACTAACTAGTAATTACCAATTTCTCTGCAAGTGACTGACTACTAATCCCATATATTTTCTAAATCATGGAGAGAGACAAATGACTATTAGACACAATGTTCAAGATCAATTGTTACTTAGAAATTATGTCTTCCACAGGATCAAATCAGCGACCCTCTGTTTACTAATCTTATGATCTCCCTACTGAACTAACTGAGTTGGATAGAACCGAGACAATTATATGCTATAAATGTTTTCAAATCTGATCCCTTTCCACATAATTAAGCATTGCTAATGATTGACACTCCACTTCTAAACCTAAGATGCATGGTTGTAGTGTTAAAGTGGTCATCCCTATAATCCAGCTTACTGCAATGTATACCATAAAATATCACAAACGCAAATCACTAACACCCCTTGTATTCTTCCCTAACAACCTTGAGACCAAATATTTACAGGCCATTTAGGAAGAAATTTACCTCATGGTCAGAGTTTTTAAGGCCTATACACAAAGATCTGGACGTTCTTCCAATACAGGCTGTCATGGCATAGATATCCATAGTAATATCGGCACATCTTTCAAGTTCTAACTGGGCATCTCGTATTTTCTAGGAGAAAAAACAAAATGGAACATAAATAATTACATTTAAATGTAAAATGAACATCAACCATGAAAGTTAAGCTAGAATAGTGTCTGTCTTACAACCTATGAATCGTAAGATCTATCCTCTTGCCATGTTTTCTCATCTATTTTTAGTACCAGTCAACTAAGGAACTAACTTAGAAAAAATTATATGTGTCATATATTCTCAATAACATTCTACATTAATTACAAAAATAACCTAAAATTATGTCTTAAGGAAGTAAATAAGTTTTTCAGATGGATGTCAAAATAGTGATTATACACACATACATGTTTTATACATTATAGAACAATTCCCACCTTCGCTTCATTTATTTTAACAGAATTTTGTCCAAAAAAAAGAGAAAAAAGATACTATTCTTAGTTGCGAATATGACCCAGTATTACCTTATTAATCGCTTGTGTGTGTGTTTTTTTTCTCGTTTTTTTTTTTTCAAGCTGATTTCTAAACATTTTTGATAAATTATCATAGTGGTTGATTCACCTAACCAGCTTTCCTGGACAATAGTAATAACCAATATCTCCACAAGTGACCAACAACTACACACTTGATTTCTGAATCTTCCGTGAGAGACAAATTATATTTAGACCAAATGTACGCCATCAATTGTCACAGAGAAAGTATGTCTCATCCAAGGATCAAACCAGCAACCCGTGGATTATCATTCCGATGCTGTCCTGGAGCTGAATGAGCACACTTATTACCTATAAAATCAGCCTAAGACAACTCATGTAGTCGGTGTTACCACCTCTGATGTATTCAGCAAATCAGACAGATCCTTTTGTTTTTTTTAGTTAACAAAATATAAGATAAACTACTTACACTTCCATATTTAACAAGGAGATTTCGTACAGCTATCTCAAAGAAGAGAACTGATTCCTCCAACATATCTGCCTGGTCCTGTAATATATAAATTATTTTACTGCATTAAAACCACTTTCCCTTCAAAAATACAATATTTTTGGTCTTGGATCAATCTCATTAAAATCAGATCATCGTTTTCGCTCTGTTACTCTTCACTTTCAAGAAAAGGGTAGTGAAGTCTTAGTAAGGATATGATTTTAATGGGACTGGGTCTTAGATATTAAACAAAACATATGACAGACACATAATACTTGTGAAGAATAAAGTCCAGCTCACGATCTTGATTTTCTACTTTTTTCCCATTCACAACCTCTACAAGTACAGCAATAAATGGGGCATGAAAAAAGGGGTGGAAATGAGCAATTTATTTCATCCTTGGAGACCACTTACATGTATCTTCTGATGTTATGAGCAGTTTGCAAGCATCTTCAAGATAGTGCCTTTTAACAAAGAATGAAATTTGTCCATGATAAAAAAGGAAAACTTCATCAGGTGGTATTGCCCAGAACAGTTCTGAAACCAGTATAACTTTAGTCTGGTCCTGCAATATATACATAAATCTAACATTTAATATAATTATATAATACTTACCTTCAAATTTGGATGTACTTCTTCATAAAGATTCAGAATCATTTTTGGTTTTGTATTTCTGCCAAACATTGATTTAATACCAATTTTCAAGCCTTTCCACACCACTGATGGATTGTTATAAGGGTCTTTCATCATCCTATTCAGTAAAAACATAGGTAATAACAGATAACAAATATTACTGTAGAGACTATTACATGACCATGTTGATGTGCTTAAATAGATATAAATTTTTAACAATAATCTATGCTCATCTTTAGATAAAGTACTTTCATTGCAGAAATTTATTGAAATCTAGTAAATTCTTCCCCAACATGTCTAATTTGAATAAGTGAATATATATAAACTAGAACTGCCACTATCATGGCGTGAATACCCCCGCATACCACTTTGTCAGAATCAACAGTGGCCATTTAGAGCTCAAGGACAACCTCCCTGCCAAATCTGAGGTTACTAAGCCAGTGCATTGCTAAGTTATGTATTCTACATGCTTCAAATGTAAAAATGTCAAAATCAATACATTGCGGACAGGACATTCTTTAGCAATTGAGAAGAAAAGCTTTTTTTTGTCAACGTCCCTGTGACCTTGACCTTTGACCCAGTGACCTCAAAATCAATAGGGGTCACCTTATAGTCATGATCAACATCCATGCCAAATATGAAGACTGTGGGTCAAAGGAATCTTAAGTTAATGGGTGGACAAACTTTTTGAAGTCAAAGTCCCTATGACCTTGACCTTTGATCCAGTGACCTCAAAATCAAAAGGGGTCATCTACTAATCATGACTAACCTCCATTCCAAATATGAAGACTGTGGGTCATAGGAATCTTAAGTTATTGGGCGGACAAGCTTTTTGAAGTCAAGGCCCCTGTGACCTTGACCTTTGACCTGGTGACCTCAAAGTCAATAGGGGTCATCTACTAATCATGACTAAGCTCCATGCCAAATATGAAGACTGTGGGTCAAAGGAATCTTAAGTTATTGGGCGGACAAGCTTTTTGAAGTCAAGGCCCCTGTGACTTGACCTTTGACCTGGTGACCTCAAAGTCAATAGGGGTCATCTACTAATTATGACTAGCCTCCATGCCAAATATGAAGACTGTAGGTCAAAGGAATCTTAGGTTATTGGGCGGACAAGCTTTTTTGAAGTCAAGGCCCTGTGACCTTGACCTTTGACCTGGTGACCTCAAAGTCAATAGGGGTCATCTACTAATCATGACTAACCTCAATGCCAAATATGAAAACTATGGGTCAAAGGAATCTTAAGTTATTGGGCGGACAAGCTTTTTGAAGTCAAAGCCCCTGTGACCTTGACCTTTGACCTGGTGACCTCAAAATTAATAGGGGTCATCTACTAATCATGACTAACCTCCATGCCAAATATGACGACTGTAGGTCAAAGGAATCTTAGGTTATTGGGCGGACAAGCTTTTTGAAGTCAAGGCCCTGTGACCTTGACCTTTGACCTGGTGACCTAAAAATCAATAGGGGTCATCTACTAATCATGACTAACCTCAATGCCAAATATGAAAACTATGGGTCAAAGGAATCTTAAGTTATTGGGGGCGGACAAGCTTTTGAAGTCAAAGCCCCTGTGACCTTGACCTTTGACCTGGTGACCTCAAAATCAATAGGGGTCATCTACTAATCATGACTAACCTCCATGCCAAATATGACGACTGTAGGTCAAAGGAATCTTAAGTTATTGGGCGGACAAGCTTTTTGAAGTCAAGGCCCCTGTGACCTTGACCTTTGACCTGGTGACCTCAAAATCAATAGGGGTCATCTACTAATCATGACTAACCTCCATGCCAATATGAAGACTGTAGGTCAAAGGAATCTTAAGTTATTGGGCAGACAAGCTTTTTGAAGTCAAGGCCCCTGTGACCTTGACCTTTGACCTAGTGACCTCAAAATCAATAGGGGTCATCTACTAATCATAACTTACCTCCATGCCAAATATGACGACTGTAGGTCAAAGGAATCTTAAGTTATTGGGCGGACAAGCTTTTTGAAGTCAAGGCCCCTGTGACCTTGACCTTTGACCTAGTGACCTCAAAATCAATAGGGGTCATCTACTAATCATGACTAACCTCCATGCCAAATATGAAGACTAAGGGTCAAAGGAATCTTAAGTTATTGGGCGGACAAGAAAAAACCGACGGACGGCCGGACCGACGGACGGACAAGCTGATTCCAGTATACCCCCCTTACAACTTTGTTGTGCGGGGGTATAACTATGTTTAGGAAGCTACATTCCCTATTACTTGTCAAATTAACAGTTTATTCATACACATTAGTTACATATTCTCTCTGTGTGTATTCAAAATATGGTTATTTTACATTTCAGAAGGGACTGAATAGTAATTATCAGGTGTTTTTTTAATATCAAATTTTAGCATAATATAAATTCTTAACTAGAACTTTCACTAAATATGATTAATACTGCAAGACTGGTTCAGAAATGAGGAAGTTACAGGTAACAGAATACCTTGTTAAAGAATTGAAATAGAGTTATGGTTGTGGGCAATTAAAGATAGTTGTGGTTTTTGTATGTTGCATTTCCTTACAATATGGTTGACCATTGATGAAGTTTTATTAAATTAATCTGTAATAAATCCAGAAAAAGTTACACTTCTTGAGCACTGCACTTCCTCTCATTGTGCTTGACCATTGTATGAAGTTGCATTGAATTCTAAACATTAGTTTTAAGTTATGCACCGAACAAGGTAAAGGAACAAAGGGCAATAACTCTACAAATACTGAAGATGGAGTTATGGTTATTGTACACTGCACTTCCTCTCATTTCGCTTGACCATTGTATGAAGTTGTATTGAATTCCAAAAAAAACTAGTTTTCAAGTTATGCATTGAACAAAAAAGTAACAAAGGATAGTAACGGTAATGAGTCAAAATAGAGTTATGCTCCTTCTGCACTGCACTTCATCTCACTGTCCATAAATGAGTCAAGAAAGAGTTTCAGTTTCTGTGCACTGCACTTCCTCTCAATATACTTGACCATTGCATGAAATTGTATTGAATTCCAAATAGTACTTTTCAAGTTATGCTCTGGACAAGAAAAAAAGTGATGGAAAAGTAATAAAGGGCAGTAACTCAATAACTACTCTGGACAGAGTTATGGTTCTTGTGAACTGCACTTCCTCTTAATGTGCTTGATGATTGCATGAAGTTGTGTTGAATTCCAACAAGTATTTTTCAAGTCATGCTCTGGACAAGGAAAAGTAACAAAGGGCAATAACTCTGTAAAAAGTCAAGTAGGAGTTATGGTTCTTTTGCACTGCACTTCCTCTCAATGTGCTTGATCATTGTATTAAGTTGTATTGAATTCCAATCATTAGTCTTCCAGTTATGCTCCGGACAAAAATAAGCAATGAAAAAGTAACAAAGGGCAATAACTCTGTGATTACTTTAGATAGAGTTATGGTTCTTGTGTTCTGCACTTCCTCTTATTGTGCTTAACCATTGTATGAAGTTGTTTTAAATTCCAACCAGTTGTTTTCAAGTTATGCTCTGGACAAGAAAAAGTAACAAAGGGCAATAACTCTATAATTAGTGAAGATAGAGTTATGATTCTTGTGCGCTGCACTTCCTCTCAATGTGCTTGAACATTGTATGAAGTTGTATTGAATTCCAACCATTAGTCTTCAAGTTATGCTCCGGACAAGGAAAATGCAACAGACGTCTGGACCGACCGACCAACCAACTGACCGACCGACCACGGGTGACTCCTATATACCCCCCAAACTTTGTTTTTGGGGGTATAATGATTATCATTGTAAAACAAGTGACAGGACATTGTAAACAAGCAATTATCATAGTATTGCAAGCAATCCATAAGTCCCCTACCGGTAAGAGCCCAAGCAACATTCTGAAGGGCCATTGGCCATTCACTTAGGTTCCTATTTTAAGTAAATTTGTTGAAAAAGTTCTTTAAAAGTGATCACAGGAAACAGTTTTTATGTACAGACAGAGGGACTGAAGGACACTCTAAAGTTATTTTTTAAACATCCCTGTTATCAAAATATAACATTTTTAAAATCCTATCATGATTGAAGAAGTTGGAGTAAAAATTACCAATTTCTCAAAAAAAAGTCTAAGTTCAAAAGGGGCATAATTCTGGAAATAGTCTTGCTAGAGTATTGAACACTCACAAATGTTGAGTGATAATAAGAAACATTTATATGAAGTTTGAAGTAGATACATTCAGAAAAATAAGTTATTAAAAAAACAATGTTTTTTTTCATGAAAATTTTAAGTTCAAGGGAAGTAATTCTGATAAATTTTGTGCTAGAGTTGTAAACCTTGTCACATATGATGTGGTTGATGACAAGCAATTTATATTTAAAGTTTGAAGAAAATACCTTAAGAAATAAAGATTTTACAGTGAAAAAACTTAAAAACTAGAATCAGAAATCTTGAAATTCAGTCTATTTGTTGCCATAGCAACCAGAATTTTCAACATAGGAAGATAAGAAAAGAATGTGCATAATTTCTATACTGCCATCTACCCATATGTCAAGTTTCATAAACATATTTTCAGTACTTTTTGTGTTATCACTGGATCCTGGTTATGTGTAAAATTTGCCATATTTTCAGTCTATTTGTTGCCATAGCAACCAGAATTTTCAACATAGGAAGGAAAGAAAAAGACGTGCATAATCTCCATACTGCCATCTATCCATATATCAAGTTTCATAAAAATATTTTCAGTACTTTTTGCGTTATCGCGGGATCCAGGTTATGTGTCAAATTTGCAATATTTTCAGTCTATTTGTTGCCATAGCAACCAGAATTTTTAACATAGGAAGAATAGAAAAAGACGCGCATAATCTCCATACTGCCATCTATCCATATATCAAGTTTCATTAAAATATTTTCAGTACTTTTTGCGTTATCGCGGGATCCAGTTTTGTGGACGGACGGACTGACGGACGGACAGACGGACGGAGGGTAAACCTAAAGTCCCCTCCGGTAAACCGGTAGGGGACTAAATAAACAACATTTTCAGCCAATATCACATGACATGAAAAAAAAAAAATCTAAAGGCCTAAGGAATCGGACATGTTTTGTAATACACTGACTTTTTACTTCCTCTAACATCATATTGGAGTTTTCAGCCACAATCACAAAATATTGATAGGAAAAAAAACCTGTAGGCCAAAGAAATCTGACATGTTTTTTAATTTAGTGACTTTTGACTTACCTTCATCAAAATCAACAGAAGTCATTATTTTTTAGGTCTAGACAAACATTCTTACCAAATCTATCGACTGCACAAGCTTTACATGGACAAGGTCAAAGTCACCATGACATTTGACCTCAAAATTAAAAAGGGTCATCTACAGGTCATGACCAACCTCCCCAACAAAGCTACAGACTGTAGACCAAAACAATCTTTAATTGTATTGAATTAGTCTGGTCATAGGGGGAAAAACTGGGTACAATGAAGAATCCTTACTTTTGAAACTCTCTAAGTTCTTTGCCAGCATACTGCATCCCTGTGAGTGATGTGAACAGCCGAAGTATTTCATTGGTACCCTGAAGTTCATATAAATTCTTATCAAAGTGTTAATTTTATATCTGTTTTTTTTCACAGAACACTGGATAAAAAAACAATTAAAAGAAATTAAATAACCAAAAAAAAAAAAAAAAAAAATTTTTTAGAGATATTTGTATATTAAAGACAATGACTGGGGAAGAAAATACCTGACAATAAGTTACATTATTATTGGTTTTATATAGTCTATATAAAAACATTTATATTGTCTTTTTATTGATACCAATAATGATACTGTAAGCAATTTACCAATAATGAATCTGAAAGCAATATCGTACTCAGCTTGTCCATTTACTGTACAAACATTATTATTTTTGATACCAGTTAATAAAACAAGGCTTAAAGTAACAAGTTCTTTCTTTGACTTGAATTCTATAACATTGTTTTGACTCTATAACTTTGCTGAATATAAATAAAGTAAGGATATTGACGAAGATTTATTAAGGTTCAGTATACAATCAGTTCAATGAAAACAAACGTTTTTCTTTAGCATTTGACGTTTAGTCTTCTTAAGAAAAAATTGACTTTTTTTTTTTTTTTTTTTTTTTTTTATTAAGGTTCAGTCAAATTTGTGTCCTCTAGAGCATTTAAATATCAATGCAGTGATCTCAAAAACTAGTTGTTGGGTTTGACAGATTATCTGATCTTGTTACTATACCTCAAATATCATAAGGATTCTAGCATCTCGGAGATATCGTTCATATGGATATGTCTTCATGTAACCAAGCCCTCCTAGAACTTGTAAACATTCACTGGCACAGTTCCAACAGCCTTCAGAACTAAATATCTAAAGAAAAAACAAGACAACAGTAATGTATGAAAATTTTCAAACAGTTTAACAAATAACAGTTTGTTTTGATTTTTATTAAATAAAATATGTTGCTCCTACTCTATTATAATAATCATCAGAGCTTTAATAATTGATTTGGTCTTTTTTCACCTTTAGAGTAAATTTCAAAATATGTAGAACAGTGCTGACCATGATTGGATGGCATGGATATGTTTGCAGGTTTTGCTCTGCACTTGTTGCATAGGTAAATTCAGTTACCATTAGCAAGGGTTAAATCACTTAGATCAAATAAATAAACCAATAAGATTGAGGAGGAAAATATCTGAACCTTTTTTTTTTGAAGAAACTGTGAAGACCAAAAAATTTGAAGTCCTAACCAATCAGCCACAATTTCAAAGGCCCCCTAACAGAACATATACATTTTTCTCCTGCATGTATGTAATACCTATTTCATAATTTGGAGTCTCTAACAGGTGAAAAGATTAACAGACTGACAGACAGCCTCTCAGTTTTGAATAGTGAAAGATCTTTACCTTAACTATGGCTGCCTCCACCGAAGCATCAGGTTCCTCGTACGAGTCTAGTGTTAGGGCTGTGAGGTAGGCCATACTCTCCATGGCATATGTTGTTACTGCCATTTGTGAAAACTTTTTCTGCAAATAATTAATATCTATCATGCTTGAAGAATGTATAGATTTTTTTGTGACAAGGCAAGGTTTTGATTAATGGATCAGGTATCTGTATAACTTAATTTCATCATTTCTATATAACTTAATAAAAAAAATGTTCACTCTTTTTAATGTTGAAGGAAACATAAATGTATGACAAAGAATTCAATTCAAACTTGTGGAGTTCCAACGATATTACATTTTATTTAACTGCAATATTTTTACATGGTAATCAGTTTGTTTTCAAACTTAGTCATAAAAACTTTCTGTTTTTCAATATGTTTTCTATATAAGTAAGTAGTTCTTACTTTAATGAGTTCAAATTCCTTCAATTTCTGTTTAAACTGTGTTCTAGAGATAGCATGCTCAGCAGTGTAACCTATAACGTGATAAAATAGTGTTAAACAATTAAGATAAACCTTAAAGTATTAACAAACACGATCAAACTATTCAGTACTTGCAATAGTTTTTTTTAGAAAAACCAATAGCCATAAACCTATTCAATATCATAAATAATGATAAACCTAATAACAAAAGTGATAAACCTACACAATATTAACAATGGTGAACAATTTACACAGTACTACTTACCTACATAGTTCTTGCAGTAATGATAAACATACACAGAATTAACAAAAGTGATAAACCTACACAATACTAATTATAGTGATAAACCTACACAGTACTAACAATAGTGATAAACCTACACAGTACTAACAGTCATGATAAACCTACACAGTACTAACAGTAGTGATAAACCTACACAGTACTAACAATAGTGATAAACCTACACAGTACTAACAGTAGTGATAAACCTTCACAGTACTAACAGTCATGATAAACCTACACAGTACTTACAATGGTGATAAATGTTCACAGTACTTAAAATACTGATAAAGCTACACAGTACTTACAATGGTGACAAACCCACGCAGTACTAACAGTAGTGATAAATGTACACAGTACTAACAGTAGTGATAAATCTACACAGTACTAACAGTCATTATAAACCAACACAGTACTAACAATGGTGATAAACCTACACAGTACTAACAATGGTGATAAACCTACACAGTACTAACAGTAGTGATAAACCTACACAGTACTAACAATGGTAATAAAATAATATAAGCATTATTATAGTAATATCTCATACAAAGTTATTTGATTTTCATAACATAATTACATAATTTCGTTCTTTTCTGTACATTGAATAAAATATTCATTTTTTTTGCATACACAGAATTGTATCCTCAAAAATTCATGAACTCATACCAACCTTTGTTTTTAAAACCATTGTAAAACATTATTACTAGCAAAACAAATATTTGAATGGATAGTGCCTTCTTAACTCTAGCATTTTTTATAAATTTGAAATAAAATTATTCAACACACCTATAAGACGCTTCAGGATGCCGGCGCCAGAACTTCCCATGCTGAACCTTCCGCTATTCAATATATTCATTGCAATCTAAAATTAAGGATAAATGTCATCAATAAGAACAAATGTCAAAAATTAGTTGAATATAAAAATTGATAATGATAAAATCATCTAAAATTAAGGATAAATGTCATCAATAAGAACAAATGTCAAAATTAGTTAAATATTAAAATTAATAATGATAAAATCAATATTTTGATGAAATCTAATTAAAACAGTTTTATGTTGCATAGCATTGAAAGGTCATGTCATTGCTTTCTTAACAAATACTGGCAGCACTGTTTTATAATGTTCTGTAACTTAGTATTAGGATTTTAAATGTTAACAGAACAATGAACATGGTCTTTAAAGACAAATGGTCTTTATTTGAAGGTTACCATGTTCTATTCTATCAATGAAATGGGTTTGTCAAGACTGGCCTTTATATAAAGGGTGATTCAGAGTTGGTCTTTAACACAGGTTTGACTGTATTGGGAAAGAAATTTTAAAGAAAACTAGAACTATCACTAAATGTGATTAATACCCCCACAAGTCTGCTTCGGAAATGAGGATGTTACTAGTAACAGAATACCTTGTAAAAGAATTGAAACATAGAGTTATGGTTGTGGGCAATTAAAGATAATTGTGGTTCATGTATGTTGCATTTCCTTTCAATGTGGTTGGCCATTGATGAAGTTTAATTGAATTACTCTGTAATAAGTCCAGAAAGACAAAGAAAAAGAACAAAGGGCAATAACTCTATAAATACTGAAGAGAGAGTTATAGTTCTTGTGCACTGCACTTCCTCTTATTGTGCTTGACCATTGTATGAAGTTGTTTTGAATTCCAACCAGTACGTTTTAAGTTATGCTCCGGACAAGGAAAAGTATCAAAGGGCAGTAACTCTGTATTTTGTCAAAATGGAGTTATGGCTCTTGTGCACTGCACTTCCTTTGAATGTCCTTGACAACTGTATGATGTTGTACTGAATTCCAAACAGTAGTTTTCAAGTTATGCTCTGGACAAGGAAAAGTAACAAAGGGCAATAACTCTGTAATTAGTCAAGATGGAGTTATGGTTCTTGTGCACTGCACTTCCCCTTATTGTGCTTGACCATTGTATGAAGTTGTTTTGAATTCCAACCAGTAGTTTTCAAGTCATGCTCTGGACAAGGAAAAGTAACAAAGGGCAGTAACTCTGTAATTAGTCAAGATGGAGTTATGGTTCTTATGCACTGCACTTCCTCTCAATTGGCTTGACCATTGTATGAAGTTATAATGAATTCCAACAATAAGTCTTCAAGTTATGGTCCAGACAAAAGAAAGCAATGGAAAAGTAACAAAGGGCAATAACTCTGTAATTAGTCAAGATGGAGTTATGGTTCTTGTGCACTGCACTTCCCCTTATTGTGCTTGACCATTGTATGAAGTTGTTTTGAATTCCAACCAGTAGTTTTCAAGTCATGCTCTGGACAAGTAAAAGAAACAAAGGGCAGTAACTCTGTAATAAGTCAAAATGGAGTTATGGTTCTTGTGCACTGCACTTCCTCTCAATGTGCTGGACCATTGTATGAAGTTATAATGAATTCCAACAATTAGTCTTCAAGTTATGGTCCGGACAAAAGAAAGCAATGGAAAAGTAATAAAGGGCAATAACTCTGTAATTACTTTAGATAGAGTTATGGTTCTTATGCACTGCACTTCCTCTCAATGTGCTTGACCATTGTATGAAGTTGTTTTGAATTCCAACCAGTAGTTTTCAAGTTATGCCACGGACAAGGAAAAGTAACAAAGGGCAATAACTCTGTAATTAGTCAAGATAGAGTTATGTTTCTTACGCACTGCACTTCCTATCAATGTGCTTGACCATTGTATGTAGTTATATTGAATTCCAACCATTAGTCTTCAAGTTATGCTCCGGACAAGGAAAATGCAACAGACAAAAAAAAAAGCAATGGAAAAGCAACAAAGGGCAAAACTCTGTAATTACTTTAGATAGAGTTATGGTTCTTGTGCACTGCACTTCCCCTTATTGTGTTTGACAATTGTATGAAGTTGTTTTGAATTCCAACCAGTAGTTTTCAAGTTATGCCCCGGACAAGGAAAAGTAACAAAGGGCAATAACTCTGTAATTAGTCAAGATAGAGTTATGGTTCTTGTGCACTGCACTTCCTCTCAATGTGCTTGACATTGTATGTAGTTATATTGAATTCCAACCATTAGTTTTCAAGTTATGCTCCGGACAAGGAAAATGCAACGGACGTCTGGACCGACAGACCGACCGACCGCCCGACCGACCGACCGACCGACCGACCACCGGGTGACTCCTATATACCCCCCCAAACTTCGTTTTTGGGGGTATAAAAATCACAGACACCATATATCAATTATTTTATCTGTAAACACTGGGTAGGAATCTTCGGTTCAATGCCTACTGGGTTTACAAGAATTATTACTAATATTATACTAATAATATAATACTTGTTAATCCCTGGAAGCAGACTTGAGAGTGGCTAAAGAAAGCCTCAGATAATCATCAACAGAGAGGTATATAAAAATGCCAATTCTAACCTATATACCAGCTAATATTGATTTGAATTTAATGCTTTGAGTATGTTTTGGTACAAAGCATTTTCTTCATAAAAATAAAATGGAAATATTATTAAGCATACTTTGAAACCTCCCCCAACTTCTCCTATCACATTTTCTATTGGAACAGGGGTGTTGTCAAAATGCACTTCACATGCTGAAAAACAGAAGAATGGTGAATGTAATGGTACAAATGAAAAACTGAGAAAAAATAATAAAACCAAATAACCAATAAGACTTTAAAATAAGATAATAAGAAAATTTCAGCAAATACCTGTTATATTCTAAGTTGTGGCGGTCAAGTGATTAATGCATGGAGCAGGACCAATTATCTAAGCATTGCTAGCCCTGTGGGTTCATACCACATTTTATACCACATCAGTGGAAAGACATTGTCATTGTGATTGCTTAGTACTGGTTTGTTCAAGAATGTGTCTATAAGCTTATAGCTTCCTACACAATCAAAGTAAAATTTAATTTCGTACAAACTAATACATTGTATATTATATGCTTTTCTAAATCTGACCTTTCAATCAAACCATGAAATCTTGAAAGAAATTTGCAAGTAGTATAATACAATGTATTGCTCTTCATATATATGTTTAAAGTTTCTTTTTATTCTCAGAAAGTTAACTAGAAGTTAACAAAACTACCTCTGAAAAAGCAATAATTTAATATAAATACCACAGACTGAGTTAATTATTTCTTCATACTAACCAAACTATTTTCTATACACATTACTTTAACTTATAAAATGGAAAAAAATAAATAAATGCAACTTAAACTGCAAATTTAAGAGTACATACTATTGGATCCCCGTATTCCAAGTTTATCTTCAGGTTTTCCACTTGTTACTCCACCAAACGCTCTTTCAACAATAAATGCTGTTACTTTGTCTTTTTTCTCTCCCTATCAATACATATCATTTACATCAATATACTTATGCATAGGCACTTGGCCCACCATGAAATTATACTCATATCAAACTAAATCCAACTCATCTGACTCATAACTATACCTAAATTTGACTCATAACTAAACCTCATAAACCTCATAACAAAAACCAAAATTAATCTCATAACTTAACTTTAATTAGACGTATAACAAAACTAAACTCAAAGAAATCCAAATCTAACTCATAACTTAACCTACATCCAACTCATAACTAAATCTAAATCCAAATTATAACCAAACCAAAATCCAACTCATAACTAAACCTAACTTCTACTCATAATAACAAAATCAAAATCAATCTTATTGTATGTACTAAACTGAAATCTAGCTTATAACTAAACAAAAATCTTATTCATAACAAAACTAAAATCCAAGACATAACTAGACCACAATCTAAACTTAATCTAAACCAAAATCTTACTCAAAACAAAACCCAAGTCCAAATCATAATAAAACAACATTCAAAGTCATAACTACTCACAGGACAATGTCACAAAACTAATAAAGTCTGGTGATAAAATATAATTAATTAATATTCTTGTCTTGCATAAGTATCATGATTACAAATTTTGTCACCTTTAAATGTAGATTAATAATATATGTACAAAAATCTTTCTTTTGAAATTCATTTACTGATCTAGAGATGTGCAGCGAAAAATTTCAGTAAATTACTCAATTATTGACTAATTCTATAAAGCTTTAATGTACAGACCTTATCATCGACCACCTCTGTTTTAGCAAATACTGTAAATACATCAGCTATTCCGCCATTAGTTATCCATATTTTACCACCATTAAGATGAAATGTTTTCCCGTCCTCGGACAATGTGGCTCTTGTTTGTATAGAAGCAGCATCACTTCCACTAAAAATAACATGAAATTACCATCTTGCTTCATTAAAATAATTTCAGTAATTCTTGCTTGATAAAAATAATTTCATAAATTCTTGTTTGATTAAAATAATTTCAGTAATTCTTGTTTGATTAAAACAATTTCAACAAGATATGTTTGTAAAACATGTATGCCCCCTATGGGTAGCCAATTAGCCATGTGATCAGGTTATTATGCATGACTTCTGACCCAGTGAACAAAAAATTAATAAGGGTTATCTACTGGTCATGACTTAAGTCACAAGGTAATAATTATTGTGACCCCATAGGTTGTGTGCAGCAATTTAAGTTATTACAAATCTTACCAAATAAAATATGCATAAATTTTATAAATCATGTAGGCCTCATTAATGACAGCCAAGATGTTATATTACATAAGACCTTCCAATGTGAATACTAAAAGTATTTTTAGTTTAATATAAAAATATCAACCAAGGCAACTTGACTTGTTGAGTTATTGGTCAGAAACCATCTTAAGGTAAATTTGACACTGACCCCTTGACCCCAAAATCAATAGGGGTCATCTATTGGTCATGGCGAATCATCATATAAAGTTTGAAGTTCCCAGGCCTAAGTGTTCTTTAGTTATTGATCGGAAACCATTTTTACTTTCAAGGTCAATGTGACCTTGACCTTTGACCCCAAAATCAATCGGGGTCATCTAATGGTCATGACCAATCATCATATAAAGTTTGAAGTTCCTAGACCTAAGCGTTCTTTAGTTATTGATCGGAAACCGTTTTTACTTACAAGGTCAATGTGACCTTGACCTTTGACCCCAAAATCAATAGGGGTCATCTACTGGTCATGACCAATCATCATACCAAGTTTGAAGTTCCTAGGCCTAAGTGTCCTTTAGGTATAGAGTGGAAACCATTTTTAACTTCAAGTAAATGTGACCTTGACCTTTGACCTCTTGACCCCAAAATCAATAGGGGTCATCTACTGGTCATGACCAATCATCATACCAAGTTTGAAGTTCCTAGGCCTAAGCGTTCTTAAGTTATTGATCGGAAACCGTTTTTACCTACAAGGTCAATGTGACCTTGACATTTGACCCCTTGACCCCAAAATCAATAGGGGTCATCTACTGGTCATGACCAATCACCATAACAAGTTTGAAGTTCCTAGGCCTAAGTGTTCTATAGTTATTGATCTGAAACCTATTTTACCTAAAAGGTCAATGTGACCTTGACCTTTGACCCAAAAATCAATAGGGGTCATCTACTGGTCATGACCAATCACCAAAGCAAGTTTGAAGTTCCTAGGCCTAAGCGTTCTTTAGTTATTGATCGGAAACCGTTTTTACCTACAAGGTCAATGTGACCTTGACCTTTGACCCCAAAATCAATGGGGGTCATCTAATGGTCATGACCAATCACCATACCAAGTTTGAAGTTCCTAGGCCTAAGGGTTCTTTAGTTATCACTCGGAAACCGTTTTTACCTACAAGGTCAATGTGACCTTGACCTTTGACTTCTTGACCCCAAAATCAATAGGGGTCATCTACTGGTCATGACCAATCACCATACCAAGTTTGAAGTTCCTAGGCCAAAGCGTTCTTTAGTTATCACTCGGAAACCGTTTTTACCTACAAGGTCAATGTGACCTTGTCCTTTGACCCCTTGACCCCAAAATCAACAGGGGTCATCTACTGGTCATGACCAATCACCATACCAAGTTTGAAGTCCCTAGGCCTTAGGGTTCTTTACTTTAGTTATCACTCGGAAACCATTTGGTCTACGGACAGACGGACAAACGGACCGACAAATGCACTCTTCTTCGAAGTGGGGGCATAATAATTCTTGTTTGATTAAAATTATTTATTCTTGGTTGATTAAAATAATTTCAATAATTCTTGTTTAATTAAATTAATTTTAATAATTCTTGTTTGATTAAAATAATTTCAATAATTCTTGTTTGATTAAAATAATTTCAGTAATTATTGGTCGATTGAAATCATTTCAATATTTCTTGTTTGATTTAAATAATTTCAAAAATTCTTGTTTGATTTAAATAACTTTGGCAACTTTTTCAATTGAATATTTAGTCACATTGACACTTCACACTAACACTGTGATACTTATAAAATATGTCAACTTTCCAGCTTTATTGCAGGAGGAAGACCTCAGGTGCATTATTTCAGGCATGAGCAGGCACAGAGGTAGAACAATTGACTGTCAGTAGGCTGCCTGGATAGCTTCCTGGCATGAAGGAATCCAAAGTTCCTAGTGGGGTTAAAACCCACAGCAGTGAGGGGCTGAAGAATTTATGTCAGCAACTTTAACCACTTGGCCAAGGAGGCTTAACAATTCCTTTTAAAATTTTCATTCACTGTTTATATGCTGTATGCAAATGTCTGTTGTTTCAATTAATTACTTAAATTTGGTTCTCAGCTTACATTACTGGTATCCTAAGCTGTGTATGAAATAGTACTCAATCTTTTGCATTCCGTTTTTACTTTATTCAATGATGGAAACTTTTTAATTACCCCCCTTAGATAAATTGTATACTGATCAAAACCTGTCACAGACATGATTCATCTTCACAAAGACTTTGATTGGGTTTTACATCACACCGATACAGTATAGGTCATATGGTGACATTCCAGCTTTATTGGTGGAGGAAAACCACAGGTGCCCTTCTGTGCATTATTTCAGGCAAAAACTGGCACCTGAGAAATACCACTGATGTTCCATAAGCTAGCTGTATAGCTTCCTCCCATGAAAGAATCGAAAGTCCCTATCAGAATTTGAACCCACAGCAGTACGGACACGTGGTTTGAATCTTCTCGCAGTTTACACATTTCTTGAAAACAAACAATCAAATGGGTACATTCATGTATCAGGCATGAGTAAGACTCTTTATCACAGCCTTATTGTTCTGTAAATCACCTGACAGTCTACATCCCTGCAAGGGGTTTGACATTATTGGAATATATACATAGAAAACAACTTCAGTTTTTAGGTTCTATCATTTGTTAACATACCTTGTAGGTTCAGTCAGACAGAAGGCTGCTATATGTTCACCAGTAGCAAGTTTTGGTAGATACTTTGCTTTCTGAGCATCTGTTCCTGCTATCAAAATTCCCTGCAAAAGTTTTCAATATTAGCAATTCCATGACACAATGTTTTTCTTCTGCTGAACAATGCCTTAATAATGCCATAACTAAATTACTATAACAACTTCACATGAGAAAGCAAAACAAATGGCAAGTTTTCAAGTATTTTAACTAAATGTGTTTGAAATGCAATCTATGATTACAATAGCACATGCACAATCAAAATGTCAAATGATCATAAAACGGTATTATATGTACATTGTACATGTGTATAACTCAATTCATTAAATAGGATTATATGTACATTGTGTAACTAGAATTGTACATATAAAACTGGAATTAAATGGTATTATATGTACATGGTGTAAATGGAACTGTTGAATAGTATTATATGTACACTGAATCACTTGAATAATCAAACAGTATGATCATATGTACATAATATAATTGGAACCATAGAACAGTATTTTACATGTATGTACACTATATAAATGAAAACATAAAACAACTGTATCATATAAACATCATATAACTTGAATAAAAGAACAGTATTATATGTACATTGTACAACTGTAATAATCAAACAGTCTTACATGTACACTATATGACTCACTTTCAGTCCAATGGAACCATGTCCAGCAAGTGTAACAGCTATCGCACCATCTAAAGCAGTAATTTCTGCAAGTCGAGCAAATTTTGTTGCATCCAACTCAAGTCCACCTATCAAAAATAATACATTTTACTATGTTTATATTCAAGCAAATCCTATACTACTTGAACTATTAAAACTTGACATAAAGATCTCACATGCATCATAAAGATTCAATAAGCATAAATATCTATAAAGTGATATAAAAGTCTAACATAACAAGCGTCATAAAGATCTAATCTGTGTCATGAAGAACCAATAAGTGTCATAAAGATCTAAAAAGCATCATTAAGATCTGATATGCATCACAAAGATCCAAGAAGTGTCATAAAGATCTCAGAATGGATATAAAGATGTAAGAAGTGTCATAAAGATCTAAGACTGGATATAAAGCTCCAACAAGTGTCATAAGGCATAAAAAGTGTGCTAAAGAACCAATTAGTGTAATATAGATTTTACAAACATTGTATACATTTCACAAGCATCATAAAAATTCAATAAGCATGATACAGAACCAATAACAGCCATAAAGATCTTATAATTGTTATAAAGATCTCACAACCCCTTCGGGCATTATTTCAGACACAAGCGGGCAGCTGAGTATAACCAACAATATTCCATCAGCTATCTAGATAGCTTCCTCACATGAAAGAATCCAAAGTTACTGGTGGGATTCAAACCTACAGTGGTGAAGGGTTAGTAGTTTAAAATCACACAAGAGCTGAACACAATAAATTGCCTGTTCACAAATTGCACAGTCGTGCTAAAATCCACACATTCCAATTAAGTAGTGATTAGACCTATGTTAAGTAGAAACAAAATCAAATTTCCATACCATATTCTTCTGGTATCTGCATACCAAACAGACCCAGTTCACCAAGATGTCCAATGATTTCATCTGGGATCTTACCATCTACATCTATCTGTTTAGAATCCACTGAAAACAATGGTGAAGTCGTGTCAAAATATTATTTAAAATGCAGTGCTCTCAGGAACACTCAGCATTCAGTGAAACTGTGGAAGTGCTTGCTTTTTCAGAATTTACCACTAGCTACTTTTGTTATATAAAGAATAAAACACTTATAGTCACTAAGGAGTGTTTTATGCTGGTTACTCACAAAGTTTCATTGGCTATTTATAATCTTATGGAAAACACTGAGGAAAGGTAGAAAAAGATGTAAAATATACTGTATATGATTCTGAAGTATTGCAGTAAAAATCGCAATCCCACAAAACACAAAGCAATTTTTTTTAAAAACACCGTATCTTATATTATGTCAATTTTCAAGCTTTAATGGTAGAGGAAAATCTCTGGTACACTTACGCACTTTATTTCAGGCACCCAAGTAGAACCACTATCCTTTATTAATCTAGTTAACAGCTTCTCCACCTAAACAAATCCAAAGTCCCTTGTGGGAATCAAACCCACAGTTGTGAGGAGAAAGTACTTTGATGACAGTGACTCCGACAACTCTGCCATGGAGGCCAAAGATGAAAAAAAAATGGTATATATATATATATATATATATGTGTGCTGAGTTTCTCTACCTTACATAATGTACAATTAGACATATAAATACCTGCTTCATCAAAGAACCTCTCTATAGGGGCCACTAATTCATTCAAATGATCATAATCTTCACTTTTTGACAGCTCTGGGAAAACAAGCATTTCCTGAAATATACAAAATTGCTGTTATGTAGATTATTATTACACTTGTACTTTTCTTTTGAACAAGCATTAAGTCACACAAATGCTGTTAGGGTAACCTGGTAACTTTTACCCTTAAGCTGACAATAGATTATCTGTAACACTGAATTCTGTGTTGATCACAGCAAGTCACTAGCATAGAAGCACCATCTATTCACATGATTTTATGTAAATTGAATTCAAATGATCAGTGGTTGATCTATTCCCATATTATTTCAAGTGATTGGACAAGGAAATTGCAATGTGATTTTGTAGAATTTATTATTTTTTGACTGAGTGTTGGTAAATACAATATGTGAGTTAGGTCTCCTCTCTGATGTGCCAGTTTTCACTCTGATGTGCAATTGGTATCATCTGGCAAGAAAGGCCAACAAAAAAACCCTGCAAAGATTTAATCTGGCCGACAAGAATTTTATGGGATCTATACTCCATACATAGGGACAAGTCTTGTAGACCATACTTTTAATGGGTTTAGAGTGATTTACCCTTAAATATATTTTCACATGTATTCCTAAGAAGATGATATGAAATGTTGATGCTAAGGTACCTTGCAGATGAGACTGATTTCAAGATGGTTTTGTGCAGGATATAATGTGTTGGTACTGGAGTCTCTTGTTTTGTAATCTGGATCATGACGTAGCATTTTAAAGGATTTCATATCCCAATTTGAATCCCATATTTTAAGCTAGTGTATTCTATTAAGGAAGAGGTTGATGCAAATCAGTGTTGTCTGCAAAATGTCTAACTTTAAAAGACAAGAGAGACATATAGATAAGAAACAAGAGAGGTTCTAAAACTGAGCCCTGGGGATACCTGAAGAGACTGTAATACATGTAGTTTGACAAAGAAGCATTTACTACCACTTACTGTGACATATTGTCAAAAAAAAACCCCATAATCCCTTGAAGAGTTACTCCCCTTATACCATAGAAATGCAACTTATAAAAGGAGGTTTCATAGTTCACTATATTTAATGTCGAATAGTACAAGTCAACTTGACTTCTCTGATCTACAGATTGAAAAATGTCGTCAGCTAACATTGGTTTTGGTTTTGTCAGTACCAATTTACCTCGAAATCATGCTGCAATTGTTGTTTCAAATTTTTTTTTGTCTAGTATGGATATTAGAAGAGATCATGTGTTCCAGTGTTTTAAATAGAAATTAAATTGAAATATTAGTTGAAGGTGGTAGGTTTGGCCATCAGCTTTTCTAATGCATTTATATATTAGTGGTTTAACAATTGATGTTTTCATACACGTAAACAGAAAACAAGAATGATTTATATATTTTGTGTGTAATAGATGGGAAACAAACCCCAGCTGCACATAAACTTAACAACAAAATGCTTTAATAGTTAAATCATATGCTGTGACTTTGCCCTTTATGCTAGACCTGGGTCTTTAGCATGACACACCATCCCTTTATAATGACAAGGGTACCAGTTTAAACTGAAATCCCAATGTACATGCACAAGTTATGAACCAGACAAAACCTTTAACAGCACTTGAACGCCAAGTGCAATACCTTGACCTTTGACTTAGAGACCTGGTTGAAACATCTGTATTGTCTTTTGCAGCTCTTTATTTTGAAATCCCATCATGCATGCAGAACTTAAGGCCCAGACACAAACTAAACAAACACTAACACATACAGACAGCACTATATCAATCTCCCACTTTCCTTTCCCCCATTAGACCCATAGTTTCTAAGTGTGGTCATTTCGGCTTTGGTCTTTTCCTCTTCTAGACATTTCCACCCTGCTATTTTTGGTTACCATATGGTACTACAAAAGGATTAATCAGTATGTGTGATAAAACCTATCTTGTACCAGCCACAGGGACCCAGCACAGTGTTGGGATAGTGTATAAAAGTAATTCTAGAAAAAAAATATATACTGTATATATAATATATAGACAAGGGGTTGAACTCGCCAAATTGGCCGAATGCCACTAGTCCAGTATAAGTCAAAATTGCAAAGTCTTTTTACATAAATCATATAAAGCTATATATCAAATTGCAGCTAAATGACATCACTAGAGTCAGTGTAAAATAAGAAAATTATTTTATAGTTAAAAATTCTTCTTATAAGGCCATCCTTAAAAAAATGTTTGTTTGCAGTAACCTGACCCAGAATTTTCAAGGTGGGTAGGTAGGTCGATTTTTTTTTTTTTTTTTTTTTTATTGAACTGTACTCCCAAATAAAAATGGAATTTCAAAATGCTGGACAATATATGCTTTGATAATCTGGTAACAATTAATAAATTGATAACTGAATTCTAATTTAATAAGACCTACAATGGCTACATTTTATTTCTTCTATTAACCTTTAACAGAACAAAAACAAAGCACAAGGCATAATTTTTTTTATTCAAAAAAATTTTTTTTTATCCAGACCATGAAAAAAAATTTTGAGTAGGGGCAAATTTTGTGAGTTGGTCGTGTTACTGCAAACAAACATTTTTTTAAGGATGGCCTAATTGATATTATTTTGAAAATTACATCCTTTGCCCATAAAAACTGATGACCAAAACGTTTTTATCTTAAGTCGGTCATACTTTTAGGCGCACTTGATTTGAAGCAAAAGGAATGGGCAAAATATAATAAATAGTGGACTCGGTTCAGCACACAAGGCCATTTTTATACTGAAAGGTTATTTTACATCTTAAACATGTTTTATAAATTATTTAACATCTCCAAATACAGATAAGATATATTTTTTTGCAAATTTTCAGGACTTCAAATAAATTTAATGCACATTCTTACAACAATATACAAACATTTATTTTCAAGCATAGTAGCAGGAAACATGTAACAGCAATGGAAACATACTTTTTTACCACTTGTAGGTAGTAAACAGACATAAAAAAATATTATTGAAAGTTTTTTCATCTATTTAGTTATGATTTGTTCACTTAAGAGTTTGGTATTATTTCAAACAAAAGAATCCAGGTGAAATGACTTGACGTTTGGTAGTTGGTAGAAGTTAATAATAATTCATGTGCATATATTTCATAACTAACAGCAAATTTGCCATAACAAAAACATATATTTCTTTTCAAATATATCTTTTATAATAATCTTAACATTTAAATAGAAATTAGCATGGTTTACTTGCTGAATAAGTTGTTTTTATGTGTGAGCTACACAGCCACGTACATGTATTTACATTTTCACCTGCACGCTCCAGGGAGAGGCTGGTGTGCAAGATCCCAGATTATGTCATATTCTGTTGAAAACATGCCAGTTCAGTGAAACACAAATAAAAACTGAATCATTTGAATTTTCAAGAAAAAATGAAAAATGGGAAAGTGTGCGGGACCGGGTCCTGTGCGGAACCAGGTACAATGACTCTAGATGTTGACAATAACATGATTGTCCCCACTTTAACCGTTTTGAACAACTAACCGATATTTCGGATAGAATATCATATTTTTGCTAGGTCTGACATGACTGTGTAGTCTGTGGTTCCAGTCTGATTGGTCAACTTATTGTATTACATCTATCTTGAGCTTGTATTCATCTGTTCATAGCTTATCTCTGAACTCTCTAAATACAGTCATATTACCAATTTAATGTTAATAACCTTATCAAATCTTCCAAGAAATAGCTCCTTGATAAATGGGACATTCTTTAGTGGTTTACTTGACGTTTCTTTTGATCGTTCTATATCGTGACCTTCTGTTTTCGTAACGCTTGACGTTGAACTTGAACCTTCCGATTTCTCGACGGTGTTACTGAAACATCTTCCATGATAAATGACAGGTATTGTTCGTTTATTAAGACTTATATTTTCTGATGCTAAAATATTCTGAAATTGTCTCGGACTTAGTTTTAGAAGCGACTTTTTAAACATCTTTAATGTTTATGTTTACCCGGTGCCGATGGCGGAAGTAACCTGTTGTATATAATCTGGTAAATCTCGTTCCTTACCGTACAAATGAATTTAATTGCCGGAAATCCGTCTACTATATTTTTTTTTGGAGAACTTGTATTACCAGGATAGCTTGGTACTTTTTAAAGCTGTCTTATCCGATATAATTTTCAGAGTTTACAAAAATAGGCATGTTGATTTTTCCTTTTTTTCCTTTTCTCCCATTTTATGCTTTCATTATCCAACCAAAGTGTCATACAATTTTAAGTGGTTGCGAAGAAATTTTTTTTTTATCTTCGTCATAGAGTCTAAGACTTTAGTTTAATGTCAAATATCTTAAATGTTTGGTAACAGAGCTATATTTATACTTCTGTATTATATGTCTCTTATTTGGTTCACACCTGCATCATATACCTTTTTTACAGATATATGAATATAGCTCTGTGTCTGCATGAAGTATCATGCTTTAGTTATTCCAAATATATTGCTTTAAAAACTATCTTTTTTCTGAATCTTGTTGAACCATGATTACTAATTTAGAAGGAAGCTTGAGGTAAAGTTAAGTTCCATAATGTACAATGAACATGCTATATATAGTGGTTAGTTTCAGCAGCTTGATTTATTACAAACAATTGAGAGAAATTGTGGTGTGGATAAAGCATGTCCGAGAAAATTTATTGGCATATCCGGGAAAATCTATTTATTTATTTTTGCCTGTCCGCCCATCCGTCGCCTTACTTTACCTTACTTTACTTTAACAATCATCAGTTTATTATGGTGGCTGATTTGTGCCATTCTTGTTTTCGTCCTGCAAACCCCCCAAGCGAAAAGTCGAGAATAAACAAGTTAAAATGGCGGGGCGCTGGCGAAGTTCAATAAATAAAACTTCACCCCGCGTGGGCGCGATGTCAGATTTCAGAACTCAAACGGCGAGGACGCGGGGCAAAGTTAAATAAGAGGAGGTTAATACTTGGTTGCTGCTCGCCATTATGCGATAATGGCCCGAAGGACATTATGAACTCGAGGGCCATTATCGTATAATGGCGAACAGCTAGCAACCAAGTATTAATGAATTCATAAAACTTCGCCCGCGCCCCGCTAATGAGCGTGTTTTCGCCCCTTGCTCCAGCCATTTTAACTTGTTAATTTCTCGACTTTTCGCTTGGCGGGGTCGCGGGGCGAAAACACGAATGGCACAAATCAGCCACCATTGTCTATACATTCAGCATACACATATAAAACATTACATGGTCTTAGGTGACAAGTACTTTACAATTATTGTCAAACCAAATATAAATATAAAATATATATCACGATATACAAAATGCATGACGTTTGCTATGTATTTGGAATTGAATCATATATCTGCAAGGTTATAAATCTTTAAAGCTGCACGCCTCCAGATGAACCAAGATATTTCAAGAAAATCAAACTTGAGAAAAAAGTACTGAGATTTTTAGAAAAGTAAAAGATTCAAGATTAAAGTAAAACTTTTTATTTAATGTGCGATTTATGACAATTTTGCGGTAGTAACGCAGTAAGGGCTATTTTTTTTGCACATTTTGACTTCTTTTTGTTGCTTAAATTTATGGGGGTTGTAATTGCTGTTTGCAATGTGGAAATTATTATCTTCGTTCACCTCACAATGTTTAACCTTTTTATGCATTTTCTCAATTTTCATGAAAATTAGCATGTATATGGAGGCGTGCTGATCAGTACACATGCAAGCACCTCTAAAAAGAATAAGTGATGATTTGACACTTATTTCACGCGAAAAAAGTTTATTCAGGGTGGGAAAAACATAATAAAGCAGGTGGTCCGAGTCCAGTAGAACTATCAGGGAAATCACATGCTCATTTATATAGATAAAACAAATCTAGAAAAGGACTCTAATGACATTTTAGCTCCACTTTTCGATGAAAAAAGAATTAAGCTATTAACACGACCCTATCGTCGGCGTTTGTTAACTTTTCCGTTAAGGTCTATTTTCTCAGAAAGTATTTTTAAAAGCTACTCACTTCAAACTTAATTGGCATACATGTTTATTGTCATAATTTGAAATGCATTCCTAAGGGGAAGATAATCCTAAAAAATGTTTTTGCTTAATCATCTTCCTTTTTTTACTTGAAATGTTTGCCCTTTTCTCAAAATCGTTACAAATATTCACGTCAAACTTTAAATATTTGTTGACTATTAAAAGTAGGTTAGTCTGTTTGTATAGAGTTTGCAGAATTATGATCCCTTTTCTATGCTTCCTTTTTTCAACTATCCAGCACTGAGAAAAGTTGAGAATGCTGTCCGCAGACAACTCATGTGTTGTGTTTTTTTTTTGTTTATATATGTTTTACAAATAATGTATCAATATCTAAGAAGAAAAACGTTGTGTTTTTCTCTTCCAAATATGGTATTCAAGCAAATGGTTATGATTATTTTTGCTAAGCAAACCTCGTACTTATCTCGAAGAAACTACTATTATAGTCAGTCATTTAATTGTAAAAACAAACAAGTACGTAATGATCGAACATTGCCATCAATGATACCATTTAAGCTTTGCGGGAATCTTACTCTGATAAAGTTTTAATTTCATGTAAATTTAGAGATGAGGGCTTTATGAGAAAAAACCAATATTAAAAGTTTTATTGCGAATGACCCTTCTTTGTTTAATGAATAATCGAATAAAATGATAGCTAATATACAAAATTTAGTTGGAGACGTCTCGCCCTCTACTGATACAAAGTAACACGAATGATAATGCAACCTTAAATATTTCAAGGTGTCTGTATCTTGAATTAGTTTTGTAACAACTCAAATAGAGCGCATAATTAAAATATTTTTCCTTTATTGTACTAAACGGAATTTGTAGTGATCATATTTACATAAAGCCTAATAATAGAGATGTGACCGGCCACAACCGTCTTCATATCTTTTAAAGTCAATTGAAGTATTTAAATTTCAAACTATTGATCCAATTAAATATCAAATATTCTCCTTTTTACTTTAAGTGTTAGGGGTTTTCATTATTAATATTTACAAATTTCTATTCTGATTCTTCAATTTTCTTCTTATTTCTGCTACAATGGTATCATTTGATTAAAATGGCAAAGTACACAAAAACTGTTATTTTTCATTTAAAAAAGATAAATATTTCGATTAAAGGGAATAAAAGGTATTTAATCTCCAATAGCCGTAGACTACTTTTATATAAACCTATTTCTTTCATACAAATACCACTGAACAATTATTTATTAGATGAGTTCTATCGCCTCATTACATTTGGAAATTTAATTTTCAACTTTTCAATAGATCAATTTGATCAGGAATTTATCTTTATATATCATCTTGTCTTTTTTCTTTATTTCGACCTTTTTTAAATGGCAAAGTCTGCCACAGCAAGTCTGCTTTTTGTTAAATTAAATACAGGTCTATTTTAGACAGTTACGGTAAAGGTCTTTTTCTTATAGCAGTATTCTATCTGTCGCCTGCCATAAGAAATCCCACAAAAACGCACGACTACCATAGAAGTAAGTGCCACGTCCTTTTACTTTGGCCTAACATAGCATGAGCTATTTTTTATATAATATCTCTTCCTTTGATCGCCAATTACAAAATTATAGTCATACCCTTCAATGTTAGGGACCATGAAAATTCCGGTGAAAAACTTATATCTTTTTAATTCAATATCTGTAATTATTGCTTTAAACATAAACACACCAAATTCCTGTATTAAAATTTCACAATATGCGTAAAAACGGTTCAAATATATAGATGAACAAAGCAAACTTATTAAATAGCTAAATTGCCTAAATTCCTCCCGATGAATCACCCCTTTTTCAGATTTTTAGTAATTCCTTCGTACACTTCTTAACAGTTTGCACAGACACATACAGGGCATAGACAGATGAAGATACGAGGGAAACCCCATTGGTACTGTCACACTGATGATCGGCTGTTATGACTATATAGACTGCTTGTAACTTTAATGGTACAAAATGGAGTGGCCTCTTGATGGCGTTTCTGTATATGGCAAAAGACGACTTGGATGGCATCGAAGATTAATTGTGGTCTTATACAATCCAAAACATCAGAAAAATGTTTTTTTTTAATTATTTTATTAGTATTTTATTTCTCTGGGGATCTCTTTTTATCACTGCTACAATGATTTATACTGGAACATGTGAGAAGACCCAAGCCACTAGGTTCAACTTTACATAGATTTGAAATAGTCATGTAGTCATGTTAAAGGAGATATTTGGTGAATCAACAACAAGAACCATGACTCCCATAAATAACTCTTTCATAGCTGAAAGAAAAGCCTGTAGTCTCAAAAACGATCCCAGCTAACGTTAGTTCTCCTGACCTTATATTCTGTAATAAATTACGCCAAAAGTTAGATAATATAAAGGAAAGAATATTATACATTTTTGCCATGTGTTTTTTTTTCTTCAAATATTTCACCACAATCTTTTATTGCGCCGCTAATTTTCAGATCTCGGTCTAGTTTTTACTTTTCAATTAAAAGTGTAAATATCTGTCAAATCGGGTCAGCCAGCCCATTTAACTGTCCTCTTATCTTCGAATAAATTGCCGCCGCGATTAAATGATTCTAATTCACAACTGACATGCAAATTTGTTATCAACTGGTATATAAATCAATTATTTTAAATACCGTATTTGTAACATTGGTATCTATATAGTTTTTTACCGAAGGCCACCGCTTGTTTGATATGATACAGCTTAAAGTAACTAATGGTGTCAAATATTTATGAAAAAATGGGTTATCTTGATAATGATCTGTCTAATTTTAGGTAATTGCTGTTACGTCTATAATTATTATAAATTCGTCCTTCTCGTGCTTTAAGAGAATATAAAAAGACTCTTATAGTTTGTATACCAATGTTATCAACTGTACATCAAAATATTTAACAAATTTTATGCTTAATTTAACTTTAAAAAATTGATTGATTTCATTTCCGAATGTAAACAAACGAGCCTAATATATTGAATGATATAACTTTTTTTGCATTTCTATATTTTGTT